GAGCACGGGGGTGGGGAGTGGGGGGGGGGGGCCTCCCCACCATGCTCAGCAGCAGATCCAGAAGTGGACCAGAACCAATTCCGGTCCACTTCCGGGTTCACCAGGGAGCACATGGGGGCCCCCCCTGCTCGGCAACTGATGCCTCCCAGATCTGGGGAGGGCGCCCGGGGTCCCCCCATGGCTGACCGGTGTGTGTGGGGGGGGCCCGCATGCTCAGTGGTGGACCCGGAAGCACATCCAGGTTCACCAACAAGCACGCGGAGGGCCCTGCACTCCTGTGGGATGTTCTATCTGCCCCAGCATCACAGCATTCATGAGCCACACCTGGTACCTTGAGGTATGTAGAAAAAACATTTAAAGCTGTGTCTATGGCTAAATCGCTGATTCTCTGAATCAGCATCGAATCTTCAGATTTGGATTTGACCAAACCGAATCTGGGACAGTGATCCAAACCAATGAATTGAATTAAATTAATCACTGGCCCTGATTTGGGCCAAATCTGAATCTGAATTGAATATGGCCCAATTTGCACACCCCTATTAAAAACCACTAATGCCTGGCTGAGCTGCAAACTCTGCCCCTCCTCCATGCCACATGAAGCCAGCCTCACCAGTCATCCCAGGCCTCCAAACTAGCACAGAAATCAAATTCCTCATTTAAAGCAGGCATACCAATTTTGGATGACTAACTGTGAAGAAAAAGAGTATGAGGTAGTAAAAGCAGTATTTATATTTCTCAGTGATGGGTAGTGGCCAAGTAGGATTTTCTAATTAAGGTTGGTTTCTCCCTGGAATATTATATACTGTTTTCTAATATTTACATGATTTTTTTATTACTAGAAAGACAAACTGTTATTCTATGAATTAGGATGATACATTCACCTCTGATTAGCTCCAGATTATAGACTCTTTTGTAAATGCGAGCAATTCCATGTTTTTAATATGAATGGCACGGTCATGAGGTGAGAATGTGGATATTACAGACTGACAATAAAAATGAACCTGTTTGATAATGGTCAATCAGTAGATTTCATGCTTCTAGATAAGAAAAACTTTAATATTAAAAAATAATTTTAAAATGGACCTTTTAACTAAAAAATTAATTAATATATTCCCAATTATTCCTCAAAATAATTTTCTTGACAAACAGTTGAAACTGTTTCTCTTGTAATACACAGAAGTAACCACAAGCTGGTACTGTACTAGTTCCAGCTGGTGCCAGAAATTCTGTAGTTCTGGTTTAGGGTTAAGACCATCGGCATATTAAAATAAGTATAAGCTTTTTCTAGAAAATGCTTTTAATTTGTACTGTAGAGATCATATTAACTGAACTACATCAGGAAAACATAAAATTAAATAATCTTTTTTACGTATTGTATTTACCAAAAAAACCCCATTATTTTTCTTTTTTAAAGTAACAGCAATTTTTTAATGAAATCATTTTGTGTGCACTGATCATTTACCAGACCACATCATTCCTCTACACAGGTGTAAACAATAGGTGCATTCAGCAACGTTGCTATCCATGTTCCCCACTGCTGGGTAGTTTCCTACTTTGTGGCAGACACACAATGTGGGCAACCATTTTGCCATTAGCTTCTGAAACACCCCCATACATATATGGAATCAATACAAATTAAGAAAAAAAAGTGTGGGCTGTTATACAGTTGTTGTGGACGCATTTATATACAGTATTTCTGTATGTGGTAGGCAGCTTTAGAAATCACATAATAAAAATAAAGGTAACCCAAGAATAGGTGTTAATATAAGACTTAAGTATATACAGCACTGTAATTTAGCTCTGATTTTAGTACAAATTAATACACACATAACACTGGAAAGTTTCTAAGTGTTCTTTTGTCAACATAGGAAACTTGCTTTTTGGTCCAGGAAGCCATTCAATTTAGCCAGGGCCATCAATAATTTTTTACAGTCCAAATTTCTCAAAAGCATAATTAAGACTGGTAAAATTATTGCTGGTAAGATTGGGCACTTTTACACATGCTGTGGGGGTGGGAGGAGGGCAGCGTTTTAATTAGAGTGGCTCTGAGATTAAAGCGCTACAGTGTCTCATGTATCAGTGTCCCCTTGCTTAAAAATGGTGGCAGGGAGGCTGTGCATGTGGTTGGGTTTCTTTGCCATTTCACTTGAGGAACAGCCAGCAATAAAAGCTCTTTTGTTAATCATGGCTCCTTATACAACAATCTGGATGAATTTTCTATGGGTTTGGCCCTTACAGGGTGGAAATCAATTCACATATATTAAGGCTCAGACCCATCTTGCATTACGGCTCTATGCAGTTTCATAGTTTCATAGCAGGTAGGGTCGGAAGGGCCCTGAGCAGATCATCGAGTCTGACCCCCTGCCACGGCAGGAAAGAGTACTGGGGTCAAATGACCCCAGCAAGGTGTACATCAAGCCTCCTCTTAAAGACCCCCAGGGTAGGAGCCAGCACCACTTCTCTGGGAAGTTGGTTCCAAGAGAAGTCATGGAGTACAGATACCTTTTTATACAGCCACTATATCACAAGACCATTGTGGAACATAAGCAGTATGAGATGAGGGTCTTTGCACAAGGCCTGGATAGACTTCAGCCATTATGTCTCATAGCCCTGTATTTATTATAAACAGCTGAAAAGGGACAAATACCAGTGACATGATATTCATAACATAATACTTGCGAATGGTACCTGATACTCTGCATACAGGGTGTAAGACAACAATGACAGATGGCACTCCAAACTAAGGAGTGAGGACTGGATCAAAATTTTTCCATCAAAGCAATTTTTCAACCAAAAAAGAAAGTTGGGGTTTGGCTTAAACAACATTTCTATGGGAAAAATGTTTTGATTCCTTGAAAAACTGAGCGCACAAAAACTGAAAAGTTTCCCCCTGAAAACAGAAGGGTTTGGGTTTTTTTCTGAAATACTGCAGCATCTTCTAGCATTTGTAGTTCAGGTGCCTCATGCTCCCATTTTTAAATTACAGTTCATATGACATTGGGTTGTGGTATACTTAACCAAAGCAGAATTAATTCATGTATAACTAATCAAAGTAGCCAGCAGAGAAATAACTGAAAGATTCCTGGACTGTAAAACTATTAGTATGCGATTTATAAGCAGTTAAAGCATGCCAGATTCTGCTCCAGGTTTAAGTTATTTTACCTTCCTTTAAAGTTATCAGCCCACAGTTAAGAGGCCTGCTTTGCTATGTAGTCCACTGTTAAGCCCATCATTTGGTTAAACAGCTGATGGGACTCAAGCAAGCAAATGGAGACCCTAGGATTCTCTATCAAGAAAGATTTGTTTACTGTGTTGTTTAACAGTTACCAGTTTTGTGAGTTTTCATGCCAGGTTGAAAAGGAATTTCTGATAAGCTTAGTTCTATGGCCTTCAGTTAGGCATAATCTATTGTAAAAGGATGAGATAACACTTACTTGAGAACCAGGTTGACCCTGCAAAATAAGGGAAAAAAAGGAAGTGTTACAAAAAAGCTGTTATTAGCCTAAATAGACACGGACAATCACAGCTTTCTGATAAAGGGACAGTAGCAACCTTCATAAATCTAGATTTTGAAATCTGAATGATATATTCAAATAGATTTAAATTAGTGGATGTTTGTTATAAAGAAGTGATCCATGAAAACCAAGACTATAATAGTCTAATGAGTCTTCATTTAAGATACCTCGTAGGTGACCTACGAGCATATCTCAGAAATAATAGAAAGATTAAAGTTAAGCACAGGAGCAAGCAAGAAGTCACAAATATTTGGCTCATATAGATACAGACATGGAATGATTTTCCTTTATTTCATTGAAATAACTTAATCAGGCTTGATTCCCCAGAGTTGTGAAATACTCTCCACTGGGCTAGAGGGTCACATGTTGAGAAGATAAACCTACCAGGAAGGTTTTTCTACCTCTCACATAATAATTGCTTTAAATCAAGGTTGCAGCCTCAAAAGGCTAACAGAGGCCAAATGTGGATACACCAATTCAGTGCATCTCACATCTGTTCCCCTCCCTGGATAACAATTCTCATTTCTGGGCCAGCCCTAGTCCAGGCTGAGGGACCCATAACAGACTGAGAAGCTGCAGGAATCTCATGCTGTTGCAATCCCTTTCTGGAGAGACTTTCCACAACAGGTGCCCACAACCTGAATTGTATGCAAGACAATAAAAATGGGCGAGTGTATCCCATCCTCTTCCTATCATTCATGAGATAAAGAAGTGCACTCTGGTATAATACAGTAAGCATGACTGAACTACAACCTTACAGATGATCAGATGACACTGGAAGACAGTGAGGAACTTTTACAAAGAGGCAAGTATCTGAGATTTTAAAACTAACTTAGCTTTTGTCTTTCTTAGTAATTCAGTAAAATTTTAGTTTAATAAAATAACCATTTCCTTTGTTGAAAATAACTGCAGAAATATATTTTTAAAGATGTATCAAGTTTCTTCACTTCAGCTGCAATATATCATAACTGCCAAAATGGATCAAGAGATTTGTATTACTACAATGGACTTGATCTATTTTAAATTTTAAAGAGAATAATTCAGATGCATTCCAACTAATTACTTGCAGCAAAGTTATCTGAAAAATATAACTTTTTGCTTATAGTTAACCAAATCTGATTACATGCAAAATGCATCTCACAGTTACAAATGCAGCATTTTACAATAGTAATCCTATGACTATCACAAAGATTGTGGACTGTTATGAGTTTATCACAGTGAAACTGAAGCAGAGTAGTGATTGTCACATTCTGCCCTAAGAGTAAATTACAAATTTCCTCAAGTGTATTTGTTATGTTATGTTCATCCTTTCTGAGGGGTGAGTTTCAGCATCAGCCGCATTTAAAGTTTATTCTTCAGGCCAAAGCAATAGATATGAAGTCCAATGGATCTACTAAAAATGAAACTCCTAAATGTGTCAACTCTGGGGATTTACATTTCAGACTGAATTAATCTAAGACAATGATCAGAACTACACAGGTTCTACAGAATCTCCCAAAAGCCCATACTTCATCCTACCAACTGCAATAATTTAAAGGCAATGGCACAATAAATATACATTTTTGGGCCAGTACAGAAGTCAATGGGAATTTTGTATACCAGTGACTGGTACACTATAAGGACTGGGTACGCTGCAGGACTGTGTATGCTAACCACTCAACCTTACAATGAGTTCACTATACATGAACCAAATTTAAAAGAATGCATGAAAATATATATAAACAAACACAAGCATACAAAGTTCTGTAAATAAATAATTTCAGAAATATCTCTGAATCCAGAAATACCAAAAACCATTCAAGGAATGTTAAGATTTGTACTCAAAACAATAAAAGCAAAAAATAGTTAAAAAAAAGAGCCAGTTTTCTTAATTCCCCACTTTGTCCCAACATACTAGCATGTCTCAGAGTGACTGATGTGAGCTGCATAGCAGCTTGCTGTATATACGAACACATGGGTAAATAAAAGAAAAAGATGACATTTTGGTTCCTCTAAAGCCCATGGGAGTCTTACCATTGACTTCAATAAGGTTGGGATTTCACCTTTTAACTCAGCATTTCTTTTACCATATATGCAATACAGGCTTGTATGACATGGGTTACACTGGAACAAAAACCCTCTTTTGTGCACTAGGAAAGGGTGGAGCAGTATCATCCCAAGAGGAGATCTACTGCAACTCCACTTCATGAAAATATAAAGCTTTGTGGAGACAATGGGATTATTAGAGCTGCATCACTCTTAAAAAGATTCATATATACAAGCTGTCTCAATCACAGGAACCAGGATTATCCAACTTGCAACTGCATACTAAACTCCCTAAAACACACAAAACAATCCATGTCTGCTGTGATCTAAATGTATTATCTCCCTGCATATGTGAATACATAATACGAAACCATGTATAGATCCAATTCCCTATTTCATGGCTATTAATCCTTCTTGATTCTTATGTATTTCTGTATATCCTTTATAGTTTGGATACTCTGCCTTTTCCTAACCAGGTACTGCAGATAGAGTAAAATGTTCTCTTTGTTCTTCCTCTTTAAGTATTTCAATTAAATTGCATGTAAAAAAAATGTCAATGGGCTATGCATGCAAAACAGGGTACAGTACATATCCTGGGGCTGGTCAGCTATGCTGACAGGTGCAGACACAAGGACAGCTCTACAGTATGGGTGTGCAAAACGGGCTATACTTGATTCAGATTCAGTCCAAATTGTGGACAGTGATTAGATTCGTTGATTCAGATCCCTGTCCCCGATTCGATTAGGCTGAATCCAAATCTGAAAATTCAATGCTGATTTGGAGAATCAGTTATTCGGCCATAGACACATCTTTAAATGTTTTTTCTACATACCTCAAGGTACCGAGCATGGTTCGTAAATGCTATGATGCTGGGGCAGATGGAGCGTCCTACAGCAGTGTGTGTGTGTGTGTGGGGGGGTGTTCCCCGCATGCTTGGCAGCAAACCTGGAAGTGGACTGGAAGTACTTCCATTCCACTTCTGGGTCCATCACTGAGCATGCAGGGGGTCCCGCCGCGGCCCTCTGGCTTGGCGATCAGCCACGGGGAGTCCCCAGATGCCCCCCCAACACCAGTTGCCATGCTGGGGGGGGTGCAGGAGGGCCCCCATGCACGCTCCTGGTGAACCCAGAAGTGGACCAGAAGTGCTTCTGGTCCACTTCTGGCTCTGTTGCCGAGCACACTGGGGAGCCCTCCATACTCCTGTTGGACGCTCCATCCACCCCACTATCTCAGCATTCATGAGCTGCCTGGTACCTTGAGGTATGTAGAAAAAACATTTGAAGCTGTGTCTATGTCCAAATCATTGAATCTTTCTGAATCTCTCTGAATTGATTTGGAGGGTTCCAATTTGATTTGGAGATTAAAGGGTCTACTGATTTGATTCAGATTCAGAGATTTGGCCAGTGAATCGGGCTGAATCTCCGCTGAATCAAATCAGGGACCGAAACTTCACACAGCCCTACTTTACAGCTCTGACGGTTGCCATCAAGCCGTGAGCAAGAGGATGAACTAGATGACTTCCTGAGGTCCCCTCAACCCTACTTTTCTATGATTCTGTGATTGCACTTCCAGAGGCTAGGTGCCTTTTGTGATACATTGCAGCATAAGAGCTCCAAATGTAAGGGACATAATGGAAAAGCACTTTGCTTCATTCTCTCCCTCCTTTGTGTATCTGCACATGACAGGGCATACACTGGGCCTAGATGAGTGACTTCTGTGTTTCTTTTTTTAAATGGTTTTATGAATATTTTTTATTTTTAAAATTCTCTCAAGTAGCTCCATAATAATCACATGGTGCTGATTTTACAAGGTAATACCAAGAACACTAAAGTGCAATGTAGCTTACTCCTGCTTAAATCCTTTCCAAAGAATGACAGTGTGGATTTTTAAAACAACGCATTGGATGGCACAATATATGCAGGTTTTAGCTGGGAATGAATTTTTAAGTTCTAGATAAGAAACACTGTGAAAAAACTGACTTTAGCACAGAAAGGCTAGCAGAGCCTTTTTTCCTGAAATGACAGCATGTGACTATTAAAAATGGTACATATTAAACAATGTTTACATTGCACATGCAAGAAAGGATAACATCAACTTCACTGCAGTAGTCTACATGTATATGGGATTTGGTCCTATATATTTTGGAAAATACTATCTGCTTTCATTTGTATAACTTATAATATTGTAGATGATTGCAGTATAATTCCCCTCAGAAAAGTGATTCTAAAAATGATTTTGCAGGGCTGCACATTAATTGGTTCTGCCATATCAAATTTTGCTGACATTAAAAATATTAAGCATTATTTTTTTCTGTCAAATCTGTAAAGTCACTCCAGGCTCTGCAAATCCAGCTGGATTCTAACTGCCTTTTATAGTATCACTACTAATAAGGTGACGGTTTTGACTACAGTATACGAGGAAGAATAAAATCCCTCTTGTTCTCCTGTACGTGCAATACCTCTGTAATGCTAACAGGAACAAAGACTTGTTTTGCCAATAAAGTAAGCCAATATGACTCAAAGACCCATATAAAAGTGGACAGGTTGATCATAAAAGAGCAGAGATACAATTAACTAGAAAAAAATGTAGAGGTCTGTTCCTTTTCATTAAGGGTATGCTCTATTTTTTTTATTTGACCAGGAATAGGGAGTCTGACAGTCACCAAGAGCCCCCAGTTCAAACCCAGCCACTTCTGTATAACTTTCTGAAGCTGCCAGAATTTTAAAAATATAATGTCACTATTGAGGTATACATTTTATTTCCTTTTGGCACTATCCTCACTCTGGCTAATGATGCTACAATACATCATTTTATTTCATGTTTATAGTCCATTACTGGCTTTCATGTACAGCAGAACACTGTTGTGTGTGAATGTACAACTTATTCCCTATGCTGACAGGGATATGGAACAT